GTGCCCCCAGCCCCTTCCCTGCAACCCCCTTTGCAAGGACTACTTTCACCACCGTCGCACCATCGGCATCCTCCTCCCCTCCACAGCTTCACTGTGTCCCCAGCACAGGGGACAGGGGAGGATGGAGGGAAGATTTCTGTCCCTGCACCGAGGGCAAGGCCCAAGCAGGCAGCCCCGGAGACCCATGGGCAGCACAGGAGACAGCTGGGTGGAGCGACCATCCGCTGCCACTTCTGGAAGAGGCAAGTCTTGAGGCAGTCCCGGGGACTGAGGCTGTAGGTCTTGTGCCGTGACATGAGCTCCTGCATTGGTTCTAGGATTACACAGAGCTGCAGGAAGAGGACAGACATGGGGTTAGATCGTGGTGCTCCCGGTCCCACCAGAAGCCCCTCTGTCAGCCACCACCCCATGGCTCTCTGCAGCCCTTCTGTGAGATCCCTCTTGCAGAGCCTGCCCCGCTGCCTCCCTGCACCGCAGGGCAGCTGAGAGCAGAAGATGTGGCTACCCTAGGCCCCCCGCCCCTGGGAACAGAGCTGCATCCCCTCCCCATCTTCCCACACACTTACTCGGAGGTAGTTGAGTGTCGAGTTTGAGAGCCCACAGCGGGTAATGTTCTTGGATAACTGGTCCAGCATCTGGGGGTCCTGTGCCTAAGAGCAAGAGGGACAGATGGCTCAGCTGCATCCAGGTTGAGGATGGCCCTCCATGCCCCAGGTCTGTGATGGGGGAGTGGGGTTGAGGACCCCCCCCACCCTGTGCCCTGGGGAGCTCCCGCAGCGGTACTCACATGCATGGCGAGGATGCTGCGGGGGATGAGCTCTCGATGCTGGCGGATGCTGAAATGCCACGTCTTTATCCTCATCATGTCGTCAAACATGAACTCCAGGTAAAGCCGCCCCTCCACACACACCTGGGCAGGGCACAGGGTCAGGCACAGGCTGCCCCCACCTCCCCCAGCCCAGATCCCCTGGGAATCCATTGCTGGACACCAAGACCCCCTTCCAGTGTCGCACAAGCCAAACCCACGAGCCCACAATGGCCCCAAGGGACTGTGGCCACCACGAGGACACATTGGACCACAGCGTGAAGGGCAGGAGAAGCTGTGGGTGCAGCCGGTACCTGGGTGAACATGGGCTTGCCATGCTGGGTGACCATGGTGCACTGGTCACAGTCCAGCGAGACGAAGTTGTTGTGGAAGGACTCCTTGGGGTGCTTGAGCACGTAGTAGAGCTCTGTGGCACCCCCTTCAAAGATGCTGCGGAAGTAACGGGGAATCAGAGTCCGGCCGATCGCTGGAGCAGGAGAAGGAGGGAGATAATGTCAGTAACCCTGGCTCACCCAGATGTGCCTTGGGGCTGCACGGGGAGATCCCCCCCCACAGCGCAACCTCCGCATCTCCTGCTGGAGAAGCATTGCCCTGGGGAAGGAGGGCTCGAGCTCCTACTCACTGTATCTCTTTGGTCCATCCTCCAAGCAGAAAGTGATTGTTAACATGGCATCATCCTCAAAGAACTCCGTGGTGAAGGCGTCCCACCACAGATTGTCACATTCCTGGGGACGGCAGAGAGATGCCAGGTCACAGGGAGGGAAGACAAACAGACAGACAGCTGCTGTCTGCGAGGCAGAACAGCCATGTGTCCAGCTCGCACAGGGCTGTGCTCCCGGCTGAGCACTCAGAAATGGGGATGGTGAACCCTGTCCCATGGCCAAGCGAGGGACAAGGCGCTCAGGGACCTGCACAGCAGGACAGGACCCTGCTGCCAAGACAATCCTCCTTGAGCCAAGGCAGCGCACAGAACCCTTGTGCTTTTTGCTTGAGAGGATTCTTGCTCTGCCACAGCTATGAACGATGTGGGAAAGGGTCAACTGTAATTGTATGCCCAGGTAGCCAAGAAGGCCAACGGCATCCTGGCCTGTACAAAAATAGTGTGGCCAGCAGGAGCAGGGAAGTGATCGTGCCCCTGTACATGGCACTGGTGAGGCCGCACCTTGAATACTGTGTTCAGATTTGGGCCCATCATTGAAAGAAGGACATTGAGACACTGCAGCATGTTCGAAGAAGGGCAATGAAGCTGATGAAGGGCCTGGAGAACACGAATTATGAGAAGCGGCTGAGAGAACTGGGGTTGTTTAGTTTGGAGAAAAGGAGACTGAGGGGAGACCTGAAAGGAGGTTGTAGTGAGGTTGGGGTTGGCCTCTTCTCCCAAGTAACTATCTGGACTTGATGATCTGAGTGGTCTTTTCCAACCTTAATTATGATTCTATGAAAACACACACCTGGGAGCATCCCCCCACCCGTGGCCATCCCTCGCTCCCCCAGCTCCCCACCTCTGTCCAGTTCTGCAGCCGCTTGTTGAGCTCAAATATCCTGTAGTCAGTCTGGTTCCCGTACGGCGTGTGCCTCCTGCCAGGGAGCAGAGCAGTCAGAGGGGGAGGCAGCCACAGGTGGGGAGGGGTCCTGAGCCCACAGCAGGGGATACACAGCCCTTCCAAGGCTGGGCAGAGTCTGAGTAACCCCCACCAAAAAACCCCTGCAACCAGCAGCATGCCAGCCCTGCTCAGGCACCCCCGCCATGAGCACAAGCTCCCCTCCCAGCAGGCTCCCCACCAGACCCCCACGCTTACCCGATTCCAGGCTCCAGGTACGTTGGTGGGTACATGGGTGTAGGTCTGGGGGGCAAAGAAACACAGGCAGGTAAGTGCTGGTGGGGGTCCACCTCCCTGCCCGTTGCAGCTCCCCCTTCCCTGCCTGCAGCAGCTGGTGGCCGGGCTTGCTGGAGGTGAAATCCAACACATGGTGTGGGGTGCACCCTACTGCCGATCTGCACCCCCGAAACTGGGGTCTGCTCCCACCTTGGTGCTGAGCAGCACCCCCGAAACTGAGCTCTGCTCCCACCCCTGGGTCCCGCCCTGTGGCTCTCCACAGACACGTCCGGCTCCTCTGCAGCTGGGGCTGGCACCAGGCAGGACGGAGGTTGAGGAAGGGGCTGTTTTGGCAGGAGCTGGGAGCACTCCCTGTCCTGGGTCATCCCAAGGGCTTGGCCCCACACAGCTCAGGGACCTAGGGCTCCCTTTATCCCAAATGTCGCCCTTTTTCCACCCAGTCCCACCTGTGTCTGCTTCGATCCCTCTCTCCCCTTGTGCTAACTCAACTCCATGAGCCACAGTCTCTGTACGCTGCTGAAGAGCATGACAGAGAGACCCTGAGGTGCAGGCTACAGAGCACCCCCAACCTTGCAGACCCCTCCCCAGACCCCAGCTCACCCCACATCTCGATCCAGCATGGTGCCTGGGTGGAAAGGGGGGAAGGCGTTGCCGTTTGGGGGCTCCTTTGGCGAGTACAGCTTGAATGACTTAGAGGAACAGCCTGGAGAGAGAGAAAGAGGGGACACACGAGTCAATTGGGGGCACCCCACAAGGAGCGACGAGGAGGAAGAAGAGGAAGGATGCAGAACCAGCCAAGCCTTCATCACCACAGCTCCATCCCTCCTCTGCTCCCCCTCGCAATGCCAGTCCAGCCCCTTCACACCACACACAGCTCCAGGCCTTCCCCACGCAGGATGGGACCCACAGGGTCAGGGTTGAGCTCTCAGGATCAGCAGCTGGAGGGGCCCAGGTCCACCCCAAGGATGCCCAGAGCTTGTCAGTTCTCCGCTGAGGACAGTGCCCGAGAGGGGCAGCCCAGCCACTGAGCCAAGGCGGGGGCTGGCTGGGCCCCGTCCTCCCCGGTGGCTGGCTGGGCCCTGTCCTCCCCCAGCCCCTCCTCCTGCGCTGGTCCTAATCCCACCGACCCAACCCGGGAATTGCACGGGATCTTTTCGCTGACCCTTCTATCGTCATGGCGACGGGTGAATAATCACCCAGAGGGACGGATGGCGGGTCCCCAGGCAGCCACCAGCTGCCGCTCGGGCAGGCCAGTGGCCACCCGGCTCCAGGCGGATGGAGAGATCCCACACACCAGCCCCCAGCCCAAATCAAACCACCCCAAAGCCTCGCTGTTCCCCCCAGCACTGGGGCAAAGGATGGAGGACCACAGGGTGTGATGGGGTGTGCAATATGTGCAAGGCGTGCAAGCCAACACCCATCCCTGAAAGCAACCTGGGGATCCCTCTGATGGAAGACATGGATGCCTGCAGCATCCGGCCACACCAGTAGGGCCAGCACCATTGAGGGCTCCCAAGGAGCAACCGGGGGCTCCCACACTCACCAGCCCCCTCCCGTCACCAGGGCAGATCCCCAGGAGGGGCGGCTGCCAGCGCCCCTCCCCAAGCCCTGCGGCGCCCGGCACGCCCCGCCGCC